TCGATGTGGTTTATAGTGGGGGGGGGTGGTGTTTTCTTCTTCATTTTTGTTGTGGGGGGGGGGGGGGGGGGGGGGGAGATATATTTGAATCTTCCCTTATGATTATATATGTGAATTGCACAACACTACCTAGAGGAGGGAGGTGGGTTTGAATAGGTTCTTAAACTTTTAAGCTTAGACAATCACCAATTTTAAACCTATTTCTACTGTAATTACCAATTCTTACAAAGATTAAACAATTAATTGTGAAAACCTCTTTTTAAGCGCAACGACCCCATGAACCCATGAAGATCAGTGTATTAATTTTAACAATTAATCACTCAACACTCAATATCTTGCAAGGATTCCAACCCAATGACCCAAACCTTTGAATGCACAACTATAGATAATTAAAATATTCAAACATTCATTCAATCAAACACATAGTGTGCATGTGTACATCAAATCACAAGTGTATATGAAAAATAATAAATTATACGAGTGACTTGTTGACGTAGAAACCCTCCTCCGAAAAAATCGTGGAGAACCTTCTTGATTCACTAAAGTCTATTCCACTATCCAACATCAGCTTGCAAGTATTTGAGCCTTATATCTCAATCAATACTATGTTTAGATGCTCCCTTCGTTCAATAAGTCTCTCTGTTGAAGTTCTTCTCAGACATTTTGTCTAGTTTCACTTGGATTCACCACTATAATGAATCCTCTAGGCCTTGAGAAATCTTGGGTGCACCAACGATCCTCGGCATGCACACTCTAATGGATTTGGTCTTCAACCAATCAAGATCTTCTTCATCAAGTTGTGAGGTTGGATAAGAATCACTAGATAATGGCCTTAGGTCTTAGGGATTTAGGGTTGTGATAGAAGCTCTCTGGGTAGAAAATAAGATTTCTCTCTAAAAATACTCACAAGGGGCTTACCTTAGGTGTAGGAAAGGCTTTCCTCGGGAATAAGGACAACCTTGGTTAACAATAAAATTTAGATTCACGAATGACTGCTCCAGCTGGGTGAGGGCGGTGGTCATTAGAATGAAAAATGAATTCAAAACCAACCTAGGAGAGCAAGACTACTCGAGCGACCAGGATTGCTTGAGCAACCTCAAAGGGTGACCCTTACTGTCCTCTGTTTAGCCTTTCCCAGTCTTTTTCTTAAGTAATAAAGAGATTGCTCTAGCGAAGGTTAGCGAGCATAGGGCGTTAAGTCTAAAATTAAGCAAAAAACTTGTTTTCTTGAATGCTAAAAGGTGTTGTTCAAGAGGGATCCTATGATGACTCAATTTTATGTTTTCAAAATGCACAAGAGGTGAAGAAAATTTTTTATTTTAAAAATACCTAGGAGCCATTATTGGATCTTATACCAATTTTATTTTAACACTAATCTTTCGATGTCTGTTAAATCAATGGATCATCTTAGATATCTAGGTCATTACATTGTCCTAAGCAAGAAGGTGCATACAGAGTGTTTTTGATGTAGCTTTGATGCATGATATATTTCTTTCCAGTATGTTTTAGGATCTTCATCGTTGTAGCATTATTACCNATGGATCATCTTAGATATCTAGGTCATTACATTGTCCTAAGCAAGAAGGTGCATACAAAGTGTTTTTGATGTAGCTTTGATGCATGATCTATTTCTTTCCAGTATGTTTTAGGATCTTCATCGTTGTAGCATTATTACCATGCAATAGGTTGAGATTTTCAAAGGACCCCACAAAATTAGTCAATTACAAAACATGATCTAACAATACTCAATTGATAGAACAAGTTGACCGTCAAAGGACCAAGGCATACCTTTTATAATCCTCTCTTTGTCCAACATCTTATTGAATTTGACTAAAAAAGATTGCCTCTAAGATCTGTAAACTCACGTCGTACCACATTCCGGATCATCTTCATAGTCTTCTTGAACAGTGTTTGTTAGAATGGTTTACCTTAATGTATATTGCAGAATAAGAGTAGTCTACTCCTTTCCCTAAGATTCTCAACGGTTGGTTATCGATGTCTAACACCTTTGTTCATCTTTAGAAAGCTTGAGTTTACCCCCATAGAGTAACCATTTCTTTCTCTATTTTACCTTCTCCTGAACCCAAGCACTAGAAATAGAAATTAATGAAGTTGTTAGTCAGGAAAACATCAGAGAGATTTGATTCAAGATCTGCACTACTAAGGAGAAAAAGAAATCACAGATATAGAAAAGAGATTAGAAACTGCGACCTTGCAAACCTAAGAGAAAATGTAAGTCCCAAGAATAGAGCGATTGCGACCCACTAAAAGGATAAATCACATCCACCTGCCTCAAGCTTTGTCCAAACAACAACTACATCCCTTCAGCTATGACAAATAACTCTGCCTTCCCCTCCGCTTTCATCGTCCTTTTCAGATTCTCCCAAACATCATAACGTCGTTAGTGGGTGTCAGTAGTTTGGTGATATAAGGCAACTATTCTTTCAAGATTTCTGTATTGACCTTTATGTGGCCCACTTGCAGTTGGACTTGGAACTAATTGGTCAGCAGTTACAAAACCTCAAGGGAGGTTGTTGTAACCGGACTACAATTTAAGCAAAAAAATGAAAAAAGGGCAATTGCTAGAAACATCAATATGTCCACTACTAGTTTGATTTGGGAATTGGAAAACCAACTCTATTTGAGGCAAGCATGCCGTGAAACAGAGGGAAAGCAAAGGGAGTTGACATAGGGCGACTTCCCACATTGATGGTCAATTAAGATTCAGAAATAGCAGGTGCTAATGCGAAAGGAGAACGACTATTACAAAGCCTTATAAGAATCCTAGACGGCTATATTTTGACCACTCAAGTTCTATTGGGTTTATTTTTCCAAAACCTTATCACATAGTTATACTAAATTGATATTGAAAACAATTTTACAATATTAGAAAAGTAGAACATAATACGAAAACCACGCAATAGGAAAGTGACATAATAGGAAAGTAAAACAATATGAAAGTAGCACTCTAACACTCTTCTTCAAGCTGGAGTATAGAGATAAAAAATGTCCATCTTTGAATGAAGAATCCTAAAGGAGAACTGCGCCAATGATTTGATGAGAAAATTACTGAGTAACTGCAATATCTCCACGCAGACAATAAGAATGATGAATCCAAGCGCTAGATGACAAACTTAGACCATTCATGGACTTCTTTAATGGATACACACGACCACGATACTCTTTGTGATCAACAAATCCGGTGTGAAGTTTAAGATATCCCTTTGGTTTTCTAGAGAAATAATTAACAATCATAATAAAACAAGTAATTTCAAACGACGATAATGACAACATAGTGGAAAAGAATACGGTGTCGGCAAAAGACAAACACACCACCACCACCACTATTAATACTAGCACATACGAACACAGCTGACAACACCATAACTTGCCATAGGCAACAATAAATTAAATTGCAACAATAAAAAGTAGGGTAAACTAAGCCAAATCAAAGTTGAATTAGCTAAAAAGGGCTCGAACCAGTGCTGAAAATCATAAATCAATACTGAATGAGGATGAAGACTCCAAGATTAGCATTGGATTAGACTAAGAACACTAAGCCAAAACTAAATTGGGATGAAAATCACTAAACTAACAACAAACTGTGTCGAAAATTATTGAACCAATAGTAAATTGGGTTGAAAACATTGAACCAAAAATTGAATTGAGATGAAAACTACTAAATCTGCACCAAACTGTACTAAAAACCACTAAATCGGCACTAATCGGGTTGAAAAGATAGTACCAAATTTGAACTGGGATGAAAACCACTAAACCAGCACCAAACTGTCGTACAAACCATCAAACCAATACTAAACTGGGCTAAAAATACTAGATTGGGATTGAAACGGATGAAAACCACTAAATTAGTATCAAATTGGCTTGAACACCACTGAACAAACACGAAATTGGACTGAAAACACTAAAATCCACACCGATGATAGACAACGGAGACGAACTCGGATTTAGGCACCTCATAACAATGATCACAACAACTAATGAGCAAGTGTATGAATATTTTGATGATAAAAAAACTACAACTTAGAATGATTTTGATGATGACAAGTGTGAACTGGTGGATGATTACAATTTAATGTGTGATGAGCTGATCTAGCCCTTAGGCTAGTGAGACGCTTGCCTAGGGCCAACACCGACACACCCAAGTTTCTTGCTCTCTTAACAAGTTGAAATTTGAATAATTGTATGTTAAGGTTAACGAAATGAAAGAGAAGAGGAGAGAAATAATAAGAGTATGAAACAATGTGGTGTATTAGGTTATATTGCCAACACCCTATCACCTATTTAATACAATTACAATATTAAGAAAATAGAACATAATAGAAAACCTATTAAATAGAAAAGTAGAATAATAAGAAAGTGACATAACAAGAAAGTAAAACTCTAACAATAGCTATTATGCTATGGCTCAAAGATTGTTGTCTGGGGTTAATAGATTGAAGGGAAAAGTGAGTCCGAGGCATGCAAAATGAGAAATATGAAGGAAGAGAGATAGAAAGAGTTGAAGAGAAAGTCTAAGAGACGTGGTTGAGCGTCTTCTGGAAAAGTTAGTTTTGAACTAAAGTATATATATAAGTAGAACATAATAGAAAAACCACGTAATGAGAAAGTAGAATAATAAGAAAGTGACACAATAGGAAAGTAAAACTCTAACAGTAGCTGTTATGCTATGCACTCAAAGATTGTTGTCTAGGGTTAACAGATTGAAGGGAAAAGTGAGCCCAAGACATGGAATATGGGGTATATGAAGGAAGAGAGAGAGAGAGAGTTGAAGAGAAAGTCTAAGAGACATGGTTGAGCGTCTTCTGGAAAAGTGTGTTTTGCGCTTAAGTATATATATATACCACTCTGTCTTTCTTCCAATTCATGCCCATGCATAATAAAACATGCAAATACACATGTCCCACGAGTCGCTATGGGTAGCATAGATGTATAATTGTGTCCTTAATAATATTGATGAATCTTGTTTGCTTATTGAAGTGCCATTCTCATGTCATGGTCATGGATCCTAGCTCTCCATGAGGTAGAAATAGTAAACTACTGTCACTTTTATCAGTTTTCGATGTAATCGTTGCTTTTACCTATTGTTTCACAGAGTTCAGTCCTTGCTTTGGATGATTCAGCACTGGACATTGATCAGGTTGATAATCTCATAAAGTTTTGTCCGACAAATGAGGAAATGGAACTTCTCAAGGTAAGGACCCTTTGTTTGTGATTTTTTTTTCTGTTTTTTAATTTGGGACTACAACAGCAATACTTTAAATGTTCCTAGCAAACAAATCTACATTAGTAATAAAGGGAGAGGGTGGGTTTGGTGTTCTCTCTCTCCCTTTATTTGTGGCTGTTAGCTAGTTATTAGTAGTTTATTTCAATTCTACTATTAATATCTTATATATTTTTATGTAATCAGCTATTCCTTTTTCTTTAATCATATTTAACCATCTAAACTTATCTATTCTATTTCCTACCCACTTCTATATCCTTTCTTCTTTTTTACTATTTGTGCATGGTTATTGTGTGTACACGACCCCTAGTATGTAGGGATATAAGAGGTGATGTGAGTTTTAATACGATCTATTTTGTACAAGGGGTGGTTGGAGTTTCTATATGTTCCAAAGTCCAAACAACTATTGGACATCAGATTGCTGTATACAATATTCAAAATGTGATCATTTCACTTATCTGTGTTGTAATTGACTTGTTTTTCATTCTTTCAGAATTATAATGGCGACAAGGAGAACTTAGGAAAATGCGAAAAGGTTGGTGGGCTGCTCCTTGTTTGTCTTTATTGTCACTCCTCTTTTGCGTTTTATTTATTGTTTGGGTGGAAGAGGTGGTACCATCACTGAGTGAGGGAAAAACCTTACTATTGACTTACCATCTCCCCATTAATTTGTTTCTTATATTCTTCCTGAACTCAAAATCACTGATATTGCTACCTTAGTTGTTACTAGTTGAACTGCCAAATAAGTTTTCTCCTCTTTTTTTGCAGAATAATGTTTGGAAAATCACCTTCATTTGTGTTTCAATTCACTTTGTATGTCATTATGTCCTAATAAACCTACTTTGAATATATCTGGGACAGTTTTTCGTAGAGTTGATGAAAGTCCCACGGGTGGAGTCCAAGCTAAGAGTTTTCTCTTTTAAAATGCAATTTGGTTCCCAGGTCAGAAGAAACTTTTTCTCACCACCTTCTTCATTCTTTCATCTTTGTTGATATTAATCTGATATTTTCTTGTCTTGACTGCTATTTCTTTATTGATTGAATATTTTCTTTATTTTTCTCAGGTTTCTGACCTTAAAAATAGTTTGAATCTTGTAAATTCTGCATCTGAAGAGGCAAGCTGTTATGCCCTTTAACTTCCTTTTGCTTACCATAATGAGGATGTACACCTAAGATAGTCTTTTATCAGGTCAGGAATTCGGTGAAGTTAAAGAGAATTATGCAAACAATTCTTTCACTGGGCAATGCTTTGAATCATGGAACTGCAAGGGGTGAGTAAAATTTTCTTAACTCTTACTCTCTTCATATAATTGTTTGCATAATGCTTTGAATCATGGAACTGCAAGGGGTGAGTAAAATTTTCTTAACTCTTACTCTCTTCATATACATCGTCTACAGGTTTGGGGATTCTGTTGTGTGAGGTATTGATGCATAGTAGTCTTTGTTCTTCAACAATGAAAGTATACCGTTTCTTCTCAGATATTTGTTACAAGTTGATCATGATGTAAGGTGGTTCTGTTATGTAAATAAACCAGGTGATATTTACAGCTGGTAGTTTTAAGGAAATGGGGATGGGGGACAAAATGAGAAGTAGAGGACCCCAGCCAACCAGACACAGTACGTATGATCCCCTGATGATATCTTCCACATCGTCGATGAGTGACTTCTACCATGTAGCCGAATTGGCTGAAAGAGAGAGAGATTACACACTTGGCTCTACTGTTGTTAGGTTGTAAAATCAAAAGCTAGAAACGTCATCATTAATAATGCAATCCTATGGGGGCAATTTGAACTGTTAGCTCCCTAGTGGGCAGAGATTGATTAACTTGGACAGATTCCGTTAGGAGTTTAGAGCTATAACATATATTAGTTTGTTTCTCTATCGAGAGATAAGTTGGTTAGAAACCCCCTCATTAAGTAATTGTTTCTGAGTTTGGACTCTGGAGTTTATAAGTGTAACACTACCACTTGTTAAGTAGTCTCCTGTTGCTATACTGCTAGTGTCTATAAACTTGGTTGGCTTAATTAAGATTTAGAACATGGCTTGCACTGCATGCACATTGATTTGTATTTCACACATTCTTTCATGTCTCTTTAGTCCTAGTGGCAAAGATATGATCTTTAATTCATGAATATCTCAAGTGATGGATATAAATGGTATACCCACTTACAATAATATATGATTTTATTTAAATTGACATTGGATTTTTGTTTGTGTTTAATAAGAAAGTAACATGCATCATCTTAAAGGAAAGTGTACTACATATCATCATTGTTGTATGGATGTGGTGGTAATGGCAATTTAAACCAATCCAACTCATCAGAAATAATTTTGTGGTTCTCTTTATGTCGCTCATGGTAATTGCGGGGTTGGTGGAGGCCGTGGTCGGCGGTGCTGTTCTGATGTGATGCCATCCCATGATGTGTGGGTTCGGTGGGGTGGGAAAGGGGGTAGTTGAGAGTGCGGTGGGGGTTGCGGAAATGGCTTCGGTAGAGAGGGAAAAGAATGTTAGAGGTGCCATGGGGGTTTCTCAATTATTTGTCTTAATCAATTTTGACCAATTTCAATTAATTATCAATTCTGACCGAGCGTTGATAAGTCAACTTTCTAATGGTTCTCCTTGTCATTTATGAAATGTTAGAGGGTGGCCAAATAATAAGGTAAAATTCCTAGGTGTGTTATTGTAATTTACCCTAAGAAAAACTGTTTCTTTTTCTCCTCATACCTCAAAGGCTTTATGTGACTAGTCAATGTATACCATGAATAAAATCTTGCTTAAATGACTTCGATGATTGCTCCATTATAAGCTTATGTTACCTACACAAGCTATTTATAGGCCCAAATATATCTCAAATTTGATGATTGTTGGAGTATACATATGTAACATATCCAAATAATTGGCAATTACTAGAGATGCTTTTCAACCGAAAAAATCAACCTTTGGTGATCCTAAATATTTCCCTGGAATTCAAACTCTCTTTGCACATCCCATCAAATGGAACTTAGGTTTGCACTTGAGCTAACAAACAAACAAACAAAGATGCATATCGAGAAATTCAAGTGGATGACAGACTTTGCCCACTAGCCATGGAAGGCCCAACTCTGGTATCAAGCTAGAGATTTCTAGTCAAAACCAATTGGTAATGAGTGATGATGCTCCTCAACAAATCAATCATAGGTAACACTAATCTTTCGATGTCTCATACAAGCTCTAGTTATAGGCTTGCTCACGTGAGACAGGGACTTGCATGTGGGCTAGGAAACAATAGGTAAACATGCATACCAGAATATTCAAATAGTTGAGAGACTTGACCCACTTACTGTCGAAGACCCATCTTTGATACCATCGTAGAAGAACTCAAAACCAGTTGGCAATAAGCAGTGAAACTCCTCAATGATATAGGCCAACATGGGGTGATCCTAATATACTGATGTGGCTACAATCCTCTGTACAGTTCAAGCTTCAATGTTTTAGGCAATCAAGTTAGGTATATGCCTTTTGTCTTTGCTTCACATTAGGAATCATGTCCGGCAGCCTACTAGCATCTCACTCCATAAGCTTACCCCAAATTTTTAAGATGTTTCATTCACACTATTTTTGTGATGCCCTCTCTTTAGTTGGTATGTCGCAGTTGTAATAGAAAAGTTGTGTCTGCTTCAACATGACTGTTTATCCCAAACTCTAGCTATATATGCTAATATTTTCCCATAGTCTATGTTATCTGTTGGCAACATCCCAGCCTCCCCTCTATAGGAACTCTCACCTTAATTTTAGGGATTGCAGATAGCTTTCTTCATTACTATTTTCCTTTTTTTTTTCCCCCATGTTATAATTTTGCAATTTTATGCCTACAGGTTCTGCTGTTGGATTTCGATTGGATAGTCTTCTTAAACTCACTGATACACGGGCCCGTAACAGAAAGCTGACCCTTATGCACTATCTTTGTAAGGTACAAAAGTTTGGAAAGTTGCTGCTGGTTATGTTATCAGTTAGTTTTGTCTTGAAAGTGTCATTCATATTACACATGGTCTTATGCTGAATGTAACAAACATTTTTTAAATCTTAAACTTTCAGTCTAATTCTTTCATTGCATACATGCACTGCATATTAAAGGTCACTATTTTTTTCAAAAAACAATTCATGATATAGGCATCTAAGATCATTTCACATCTCCACAAATTAATTTAGCTTGAAGAGTTGCTCAAAGTTGATGCCTTGAATTTATTGGCTATTCCAATTAGAAAGGAATGCTTAGAAAGCTTGACTTGCTTACTTCTCAACAGATCTGGTATTAAGTTACTTATTTTGGAAATAAAAAGTGAAGTAAGAAAACTGAAAGATCACAATTTCAAATGTTTTTAGTAGTGATCAGTGGACCAAGTTTCTTGCCCATTCAAGTTTATCATTTTTCATGTTTGTTTGTTTGTTAGACTGACGTATGAGCTGGAGCCCCTTGTAAGGTTGGGTGTAAAGAGAGCGTATCTTCCATATCGAATGACTAGGATGAACTAAGTTTGGTTTATAGGGTTAATGGACCTCTTCACCTATTGCCAGTTGGTTTTTGGTTGGATGCCTTTAATACTTCCAAGTTAGCATATTGGTCATGGTGCTCTACTCACTATATATTGGTTACGAGTTGGGAGACTTGATATGGTATCAAGCTGAGTTCTTAAAGGTTGTGAGTTGTCACAGTTGTTTGTTTCACATGGATTATTCATTTAGTTAGTTTTATTTGCTCAACCAAGTATGTCACTGGTCGTTTAACTCCTCTTCAACAAGCAAACTAGTCTATTGGAATTTTAGCTACAATTTGGGTCATTTGGTTGGAAATGAATGCAAGAATATTTGGCAATAGATGTGAAGTGGTGGAAGGGTTATGGAAATTAATTTATTTGTTAATATCTTCTTGGGTTTTGATCACTTAAGCTTTTCAAGGAACTCCTTTCTGTTGCATTTTGGCTACTTTGTGTGGTTTTTAAGTAATCTTTTATGATTACGATGTAATGCTTTTTGGTTGGATGACTTGTTCACTTTTTCAGTTGCATAACTTGCTATGTACTTGTAAAGAGATGTATCGCATATCAGAAAATTAATAGACCCATGGTTGTTTTATATGCTTGGGTCTCTCCACTCATTGTAATTTGGTTTTGAGTGCTCTAACATGGTATTAGAATTGAACCCTAGATAGTTAGTGGACTAAGTCTCTTGCCTATTTGAATTTCCCGATATGAATCTTTGTCTATTTGTTTGGTAACCTCACGTATGAGCCCGAGTCCAACGTGAGGCAGGGTGAAGCAAGCTATCCTACATCGAAAAATTCAGTAGACCCAAAGTTGGTTTATATGCTTCATAACTCTCCACTCATTGCTAATTGGTTTTGAGTTGGATGCTCTAACTGTACCAAACTATTATCAAATAAAATTGAGTGTTTCTTAAGAAAGCATCTCAATAGTAAGTACTATAATTTTCTCCTCTTTGGCAGAGAATTGCTCTTTGCATAAGTTCCTCTCTCTGGTAGAACAATTGTCCTTGAGCTTTAGCTGTTCCAATCCACTCTTTGCATATGTGAGGATTGAATCTTTCTAAGATTATCAGCAAGACTTGTTTATTTTATGTAACAAGAGAAGTGTGCCTATTAGCAATGGAGAGCCTAGGTCCATTTATATGTTTGCATGAACCCTGCTTATTCTGAGATCTTAGTACTACATTAGAGTAAACTCTGACACCATTCAATGAGGTAAACCCTAGAAAGCCAGACTTGACAAATCAATCACTGAATTGGTGAAGTATTTCAGAATATTGAAATGCCGAAATCGAATAAGGCCAACTTGCTCTTGAACAGAGTTGGTATAAGAAAATGGAGTTAGATTTGACCAAGAATAACCTTGAAAAACTTCTGCTTTTCAAAGAAAGATTCTAGAAACAAAAATCCTGTGTAAAAAAATATAATATGATGGGGAGGGTTATAAGCTCGATGATATGTTTTTACTGTTTGTTTTATTGGTTCCATTGGAACAGCTGAATTTCGTTGTTGCTTTGCGTGCATGGGTTGCACCCCCTTATTGTTTCTATTTTTTTTTCCCTTGGTGTCTCTAGTGGTACTTTTTGTCGTTAACTTATTTTTTCTGCAAAGTTATTTTTACTGTGTCATTGCCGACCATAGAGGTTCGTCCCCATATGCTTTTTTCCTGTTTAAATTGATCAGTTCTTTTTGGTCAAAAATTTCTGCTTGACTATTTGTAGGTGCTTGCTGAAAAGCTACCAGAACTTTTGGATTTCCAAAAAGACCTTGCGAGTTTGGAGGCTTCAACAAAGGTATTCATGCTTAATGCCATTTTGTGGAAAGCATGGGTTTCTATTGAAGCTTGGTATATATATATATATATGTAATGGTCTAAAACATTGATTATCATGCAGATACAATTGAAATATTTGGCAGAGGAAATGCAAGCAATTAGCAAAGGGCTGGAAAGAGTTGTACAGGAACTCTCGGCCTCAGAAAATGATGGTCCCGTGTCAGAAAAGTTTTGCAAGGTACCTTATGCAGATCAGCTCTTAATTAACTTATACACGTGGATAAAGGTTTATGTGCAATTTTGTGTTCTTTATTTTCTGCTGACTATAAACTTTAAGTTTTTGTGGTGAATAATGATCACCTAATCATCTTTACACCACACCTTCTAGAGTGATGTATTTGTTGACATGTAGACATGTACCATGACTTGGAAGTATGATGCCAATCTACCATCCACTCATATATCTAATGGTTTTTTCTGTAATCTTTTATCAACAAATAACTTTAAAATCATAACAAAATTTCAATCCCATGTAACTGCATAAGTCTTACTTCTAATCTACGGTATTGGAATCCAAAATTCTCCCCAAATATGTATGGAGGATGAAGACAACTGGCTGTTCTTGTTCATAAAGATTATGGCATTGTATCCATTCATTCATTCTTTCCTTTTTTTAGCTTTCCTCTACCGTCTAGTTTCTATTCGTTATTTCAATCTGTCTGTATTCTGTATATATACTGGATGTCTGCATCTTAATGGCTTTCTGTGACTGACTTGATCGGCCAGTAAACATGGAATAGGCTTTTTGAGGAAGGGTATGAGACCAGAAAAGAAGTTAGATTTCATTTATGCTGGGAACTTGACGGTATTTGGTTTTAGTTGGATGCAACAAATTGATATTAGGGTTAGTGAAAGACAAAAAAGAGAAGAAGAGGCAAGGAATGAAATAATCAGTTGTGTATGAGCTATGTTGCTTTACACCATCTTAACACTATCTTATTTATAACTGAGCAATATCTAGGATAATTCCAATATTCCCTGCACTAATAGACTTATGACTTAATACATAAAATAAGAACTCTAACACTCCCCCTCAAGCTGGAGCGAAGATAAAAAATGCTCAATTAGAACGTAAACTACTAAAGGTCTATCGAGCCAATGGCTTGGTAAGAATGTCACCCAGCTGATCACCAGACTTAATATATGGGGTGATGATCTCCTTTTTCGTTAGTACATCTCAAATGAAATGACAATTCACCTCAATGTATTTGGTATACTCATAAAATACCGGATTACTTGCAATGAAAATTGCTGCTTGATCATCATAATGCATCGTCATACGGGAAGATACATCAAGTACTATATCATGGAGCAAAGAACGAACCCACAACATCTCAGAAGCAGAATGAGTCATATCACAATATTTAGCCTCAACACTAGAACACGCAACCTCATTTTGCTTCTTATTATGCCGGGTAACAAGATTATTTCCGACNCAACATCTCAGAAGCAGAATGAGTCATATCACAATATTTAGCCTCAACACTAGAACATACAACCTCATTTTGCTTCTTATTATGCCGGGTAACAAGATTATTTCCGATAGACTTGCAAGAGCCAGATGTAGAATGTTTATCACCATGACTATTTGATCGGTCAGCATCAAAAAAACCAACAACAGTTACGGGTGATGGAGGATATAACAATCTTTTCCTCAAAGTTTCTTTCAGATATCGAAGTATGCGACAGACAACCTTTCAATTTGGCTTACGAGGATTATGCACGAACTGACTAACCACATCAACAACATATGTAATATCAGAGCTTATAACTTTGAGATAAATTAATTTTTCATCCAAACTCCAATGACACCCTATATCCTCAAAAACTTCACCATTCTCATAATCTAATTTAACTCTAAGATCCGTAGGTGTATCAACCGGACGAGCACCAAGAGTGTCAGTTTCAGATAGTAAGCCTAGTACGTACTTTCGTTGGCACAAACTGATAGCAACCTCAATCCCTAGAAAGTACCGAAGAAGGCTTAAATCTTTGGTGTGAAATTATTTTCTCAAATAGGTCTTGAAATGGACAATACCATTTGAGTCATCACCACTAATGATTATAATAATAATAATGCTTGCAGAAGACTGATGAGTGAAAATTGAATGATCTAAAGTAGAACGCTGAAAGTCAAACTGAAGCACAACAGTGCTAAACTTATCAAACCAAGCATATGGTGATTGCTTCAAGTCATAAATTGTTTTTTTCAATAGACACTAATTGTTCCCCTTTAGTGCCAACATAATTTTGAATCATACATACCTCATCCAGTAATTCTCCATGTAAAAATGCATTCTTTATGTCCAATTGATACAAGGGTCAGTCACAACAGACTGCAATAGAAATAAGAACTCTAATAGAGTTAAGACAAGCAACAGGAGAGAAAGTCTCTCAATAATCAATACCATATGTTTGGGTGTAGCCCTTAACAACCAACCGTACCTTCAAATGCTAAACAAACTCATCAGGATGATATTTCACAGTGTAGATCCAATGACAACCAACAGGTTGCTTACTAGACGAAAGAGAAGTGAGATTCCAAGTATAATTGTAATGAAGTGCCTTAATGTCCTCATTCATAGCCAATTTTCATCCTAGAGATGTTAATGCTTGTTTTAAAAAACTAGGAACAAATATAAAAGACAAGGCTGATGCAAAATAACGAAAGTGTAAGGAAAATTTATGCAAAAAGATAAAGTTAAAAATGGAATATTAGGTACAAGTATAAGTACCTTTCCTTAATGCCATAGGCAAATCAGAAGAGGATGATTCATTAGACAGATCAGTAGGTAGGACCTCGGTAGAAGTAGGTGATGGTTGGGGGCTGGAGCATATAGAACAACCTATTTGTCTGTGGAACGATGGTAAACTTGGAAAGGAGGGTTTGGAGCCAGAGTGGGAAAAGGTACGCAATCGCGTATTAGAGGCAATATGAGCTTCCTTGAGGGATGACAGTGGACCGGGGCAGGGGTGGGTGGAGTAGTCTCCATCCCCATACCCGATTCAAAAATATTTGTCGATCCTTGGTCCACCCCTTTTAGTAGGAAAATTTTAATCCCCGTTCTCGCTTGTGGGTAAATTTTGATTCCCGTCCCCATCTATACCACCGTCTTCGATCATAACAATTAATTTCTATGATTTTAAAAAAAAAATCATAAAACTTCACAAATGGTTCTATAAGAAGGATAAAACTGTATTATATAACAAATGGATAAAAAAAAGAAGAATAAAATATTCTTTTCTGGGTAAAGAGAAGAGACTGTGTGGGTGGGGTTTGTAATACTAAGGAATTTTCACTGCACTTGTCTTTAGAACTGTTGGACCCTTCCTGAGGAGGGCTCTCGATCAAATATTTGATTTTCCTCTTGCCCTATAAAAAACTTTAATAGCATGGGCTCAAGAATAATAATTGTGTCCATTCAATTTTTACAAAAGTGATTTGTCTAACCTGATCATCTATAGAATGAACTTGTCGAGCTTGATCATCAACAGATGTATCCTTGACGTCATCCGAAGTCACCATAGTAAAAAAAAAAACAATTAACTAGGCGATAACAGAGGATAATCAAACCAATAATCCTCACCAACACAATTACACAAGCAACCAAACCAAACAAAAGACTAAGAAATTTGCCTAAACCACACAATTCACACCACCAATGTTGAAGGCCAACAACATTAAAAGCCCCAAAAACACCATTAGATCTCCAAACAACAAATATAGGGCCAACAAAACACACAAACAACAGATTAGGGCAATTGGAACACTGGGCAGTGCCGGAACAGTGTTATCANCCAACAACATTAAAAGCCCCAAAAACACCATTAGATCTCCAAACAACAAATATAGGGACCACAAAACACACAAACAACAGATTAGGGCAATTGGAACACTGGGCAGTGCCGGAACAGTGTTATCAGCACTTCTTCGCAGGGTTCAAACAGACCTAACCCAAGAAATATTTAAAACTTGAAGAAAAAACACACCTAGAATGAGCCAAACATCACTGAAGCAGGAGTCCTCAACCAGAAACACCAGAACAGTGAGCTTTACTGGCACTGTGTAGGGTCGACTTCTGCCTAGCCACAAAAAACACCAAAATACCACTCAAAGGCATATGGGTCTGCCACACGAGCCTCTAGGATGTTTGTTGGGCCTGTTGGAGGTAGAAGGAAGCATAAAAAAATTGTAAATTTCTTTTAGATTCTAGATCGCAAAAAAATTCAAATATTTTTCAAAAAATGAAAAGTTGATCTAGATGGTCTCAGAAAATTCTAGAAAAATCACCATAAATCTAAGGGCAATGAGTCAATCATGGAGATGGGTTTTAGTCGCCGGAAACTTTAGCATGACATCACTTTCCGGTAGTCTCTCCAGACTCTTGAATAGTCGCGGATAACCTTTGGTTGGCTTGGTCTGATTTTTGTAATTAAGAAATAAGTGTTCTGATACCAAGTTGAAAGCAATAAATTGATATTAGGGTTGGAGAAAGACTGAGAAAAGAGAAGAAGAGGTAAGAAATGAAAGAATCAATTGTGTACGAGCTATGTTGCCCTACACTATCTTATTTATAACTGTGCAATATTTAGGGTAATTCCAATATTACCCTACAATAATAGAGTTATGACTTAATACTTAAAATAAGAACTCTTGACTGTTTTAAATGGAGATCAATGGAATACGCTGGAGTCTAGCCCTGAAGTGGGTTTTAGGGCTCAAACCTCTTTTGGTTGGTGTATTACTGGCCAGAGAGCTCTACTTAAGATAGCCTGGGCAATAACTCTTCTTCGTAAAAGGAGTTTGAAAGCGATGTCATGCTTCAATGCTTAATAAAATAAAGAAAAAGNCTGTTTTAAATGGAGATCAATGGAATACGCTGGAGTCTAGCCCTGAAGTGGGTTTTAGGGCTCAAACCTCTTTTGGTTGGTGTATTACTGGCCAGAGAGCTCTACTTAAGATAGCCTGGGCAATAACTCTTCTTCGTAAAAGGAGTTTGAAAGCGATGTCATGCTTCAATGCTTAATAAAATAAAGATGAACAACGGCACCCTTATCAGCCTAAATAAAATAACAGCACTAGAGCAACAGAGTGGGGATATTGTCTTCTCATATTACCTAATTTGATTGATCTAGAAAGTTAGCAATTTCAGTGTGTTCCTTCTGCTGTGGTCAACTGGACTATAATTGTGGTGGTCATGTGGACCATAATATGGTGTTGAGCTTCTTTATCATATCATAAGGGCTCTGCTTACAGCCAAGGATAGGTACAAAGCTTAGTAAATGTGTTCCTTTTTTTTCCAATCAAAACTTGATAGCATTTAAGGTCCTCAACGCCCTTGTGTTAAGGACACGGTTGTTAGTTAATACCTGAATGGGGATATTTAATTTTGATGTTATTACCCATTTTGTTAAAAATTGACAGGAACTATTTGAAATTTTGTGAGTGAAGGTAACCTTGATTATTTACATGACAATAACTGAGTTTCAAGAATTCTGACATAAGAGCCTCCTAAAAATATGGCAAAATGCGGAAATTATAGTTGTCCTCCACCAGCCTGATGCTCTAGGTGCTGCCATACTTTGTTAGATCTAAACCATTGAAGGAAACATGGCTGATTTTAGAAATTCTCTTGCTCTCACTACCCATGTCTATAACTATTTCAGTCCATGTACTCATGGTCTCCACTGCTAATTGTTGTCACTCATTAAATGTTCAGACTCTAAAGGAGTTTCTTCGTTTTGCGGAAGCTGAAGTGAGATCATTGGCAGCACTTTATTCTGGAGTGGTACATCCCGGCACTTACTTCAGAACATTTTGTGGTTCTTGCAAGACAAATGATTATTTTTCACAATTTTGATGTTTTTAGGGAAGAAATGCAGATGCATTGGCTTTTTATTTTGGAGAAGATCCAGCCCGTTGCCCATTTGAGCAAGGTATCTCATCTATTTGTTACTTACTGGTAAATTATGAATTAAAATACCTAACTGCAATAGAACTACATTAACAGGTCCTCTGTTTTTAGTCTTTGTCTTCCAAATTTTCTTGCACACTTCTGATTCTTTGGATCACACTGAAGGTTCAGCTGTACTGTGTTCTGGGGGCTTGGTAATTAAGTTGCATATGAAGCTTTACAAACTAGATTTGGAAAACAAATCCTAACACATGTCCATGAAAGTATAAGAAAGACATTGAGGTACTGCCAATATTCTGAAACAGTCAAAATGTAAAATCAAGATTAGGATTTAGAGACAGAAGAAGGAAAAAAAAGAAATTGGGAGAAATAATGTGTGTACGGCTGTGTTGCCCTACACTTCTTATTTATCGTAGATAAATAATTAGGGTAATTTCAGTATTACTCTATACGCATTAAATATGACCAATACAAAAAATAAAAACTCTTAACACTCCTCAAGCGGAAGCATAAAGGTAAAAAATGGCTAGTTTGGAACATAAATTGACCAAGTTAATGGCTTGGTGAGAATGTCATCCAGCTGATAACCAGATTTAATATGTGGAGCAATAATCTCGTTACGCATCTGGAGATCTTGAATGAATTGACAGTCCACCTCAATGTATTTAGTACGCTCATATGGAATAGTGGATTACTTGCAATAAAATTGCTACTTGATAGTCACAAGTCATCTTCATGGGGAAGGTACATTAATTCCCATATCATGAAGTAAAGAGCAGACCCGTATGATCTCACTTGTAGTATGAGCCATACCGCGATATTCAACCTTAGTACTTGAATGTGCAACCACATTATGCTTTTTACTACGCCAAGTACACAAGGTTGTCACCAATAAATGTGCAATAAGCAGAAGTAGATCTCCTATCACTATGACTACCTATGCAGTCAGCATCAAAAAAATTGATAACAGATATATATGGGTGATGATGAACAATATAATAACCCTTTTCTAGAGCTCTTTTTAGATACCAAAGTATGCAACACATATCCTCCCATTGAGGCTTACGATCATCAAAAACTTCTCCACTAGCTAGATTTAATTTCACTGTATAGAGTCCATGAGAGTATCAATCGGACGAGCATCAAGAGTATCAGTTTCAGATAGTTAAGTCCAATGCACACTTACGTTGACATGAACTGAAACTGATATCCTCCTTTGACTAGGCAACCTCAATCCCTATAAAGTACCAAAGAAGACCTAAATTTTTGGTATGAAACTGCCTCCCTAAATGAATCTTGAAGTGAGCAATACCATCAGAGTCATTACCATTGATAATAAGATCAACATACACAATAGCAATGATAACACCAACAGAAGATTGACGAATAAAAACTGAATGATCTAAAGTAGAGCGTTAAAAACTAAACTAAAATACCACTATACTAAACTTATCAAACCAAGCACGTGGTGACTGTTTCAAGCCATATAGTACTTTCTTTAGACAACACACTAATTATTTTCGACTTAGAACAACATAACTAGGAGGTTGACTCATTTATACCTCCTCTTGTAGATCTTCATGTAGAAAAAGGTTATTTATATTTAGTTGATACAAAGGCCAATCACAACTAATCGCAATAGAAATAAGAACTCTAACAAAATTTATACGAGTAACGGGTGAGAATGTCTCACAGTAAACTACACCATATGTCTGACTGTAGCCTTTGGCAATCAGGTGTGCTTTCAAATGCTCAACTGATCGATCAGGATGATATTTCACAGTGTAGACCCAGCGGCTACTGACTGGGTGCTTACTAGGGGAAAGAGATGTGAGGTTCCAAGTGTGATTTTCATTGAGGGCTTTGATCTCCTCATCAATAGCTAGTTTCCATCCAGGATATGCTAATGCCTGTTTCGAGGAATTAGGAACAACTATAGAAGACAAGGCCTCAGAGGAATCAAGCACTGGTAGATGTGTTGGAGCATAGGGAATAATCTGTCTGTCTGTGGAACGATAATAAACTTGTAATGGAGGGTTAAAAATCGAAGAAGAAGAAGATATATATTCTAGCATGAGAGGCAACAAGAGGTCCCCTAGACTCTAGGAGAGATTAAATCAAGGTAAAGATCTTGTCTTGACTCATACAAAAAAGATGACTCCTTAAAAAAGGTAACATTAGCACTAACATAATACTGACGAGAAATAGGGTCATAACAGTGATAATCTTTTTGAGTATGAGAGTATCCCAAAAAGGTATATGTAACCGAAAGGTGAAAGTTTATTCGGACTTGGACAAAGAAGGTGAACAAACGCAACACAACTAAAAGCATGAGGGGTGAGACAAAAGAGTGATGAATTAGGGTAAAGCAAGAAAAACAAAAATTTGTTGCCTAGGATGGGTGATGACATCCAATTAATAAAATAAACTGAAGTAAGAGTACATTCATGTTAAACATAAGAGTTTGAGCAACATCTAATAAATGACGATGCTTGCATTCTGCAACACTGTTTTGCTGGGATGTATGGAGACATGTAGTTTAATGAATGATTGCCACAATCACCACGACCACGACCACCATGTCCTCCACGACCAGAGCCTCTACCACCATGAGTACCACCTTGGGGTGGATGCCTTGCTCGACCACGATCACCACGAGAATCGCCACAACCATCATCATTAGAAATCAAGGCAGAAGACGCTTGAGACACTGAAGAAGTCCCACGAGTAAGAGAAGCATGTTGGAGGTGTACGCATTGACATTAGATGGAAGTTTCTCACTCGCCAGAATCTGATCTTTAAATATACCATGCTCAAAGTTAAGACTGGATAAGAGCAACGCAATGTGAAACACTTCAAGTTGTCATCGTTGTACCTCCAGATCCATACTCAGTGACTGATAAAGCAGTAGTTCTTCCCACAACCCTTTCAAGGGACCATAATGTTCAACAAGTTATTTATTACCTTGTTTGATATTATATACACTCAAAAAACTTATAAATCCGAGATACATTGTGTTCGTGTGAGTACATCTCCTCAAGAGAATCTCATATCTTCTTAGAAGTATCAAGAAGTTGTACAGTAAAAGCTATAAATGGTTCAATCTCAGGCACAACCAGGGAATTCTCACTACACCAGTCTGCAAAATTTTTTGAGTCCTTAGAAGAAGGACTGTCAGTCAAGTACTTTACCTTTTTTTCGTCCCATTGGAAAACTTTAATTTCGTGCGACCAAGAGTAGTAATTGCTGCCATTTAATTTCAAAGAAGTAATTTGTCTTACCGAGTCATCCACTGAATGAACCAGTCTAACCTGATCATCAATTGTGGGTTCCTTTACCTCTTCCGGAGTTGCCATAATAAACCCCAACTAAATGTAAATCAGGAGGAGGGGAAGAACTCAATAATACAAAACAAAAATCCACCAATCACCAGCAATACATACTTAAAAAAAGAAAAGGCCACTATCCAAGCACAATAATCACCAAAAAGCTACCCAAAAACTAATGGGTCAACCACAGGACATAGAACGAGCACAAACCAGTGCTCTTGAGCTACAGATCACAAATAGTTTGATGAACCAAATGAGCAAGAACACCAGATCACAACAACCCGATGAACCAGACGTGAAAAAAGAACACCAGATCAGTACAACCCGATGAACTAGACGTGAAAAAAAAACACACACAAAAATAGGAGCCAAATGAGCAAAACACTAAAAAAACTGAAGAACACAACAGATAAATAGGCTTGTTAGAATAGTACCCTTGGGAAAATCTCACCAAAAATGCATCAAACACACTCTAGGAAGGTTGAGTACATCACCAAGGGAATAACTCGAACACATAAGAACGAAAACAGTATCTGTGTATGGCATTGTATTTGTCGACTGCTGCCCAGCCTCAATACACACAAAAGAATCAACCCAAACCAGATGGATCTGCCAACAGTGCCTCTGGAAGCCTTAGTGTTGTCTGGAGGGAATTGAAACATCAAAACCAGATGGGTTGCACCTAGCAGCAGCTAGATCGAAGAGCCGATCACATNAACCAGATGGATCTGCCAACAGTGCCTCTGGAAGCCTTAGTGTTGTCTGGAGGGAATCGAAACATCAAAACCAGATGGGTTGCACCTAGCAGCAGCTAGATCGAAGAGCCGATCACATTTTTTTTTGAACAATATTCAAAAAATTAAAAGTTAAGTAAGATGACCTCAAAAAAATTTACAAAAATCACCTTAAATAACTGGACAGGAAGTTGATCTCGGAGGTGTCTTCTCATTTCTGGAAACTCACCGACGAGTGAAAGTTGTGAGTTTTTCTTCTGCTTCCTTGATCTGATTTGTAATTGAGGAATAATTGCTTTGATATTAAGTTAAAATGTTAAATCAAGATTAGGGTTTAGAGAGAGTAGAAGAAAATAAGAGACAAAAAAGAGATTAGGAGAAATAAAGTGTGTACAAGTGTGTTGCCCTATACTTCTTTTTTATAGTAGAGAAATAATTGGGTAATTACAATATTACCCTATCCTATTCTCATTAAATAAGAACTCTAAGAGTATCTCTAAATCTTACTTTTTTTTTAAAACTCAAATTTAAATTTGGGTAAAAAACTCCTAAAAACATTCTTCAATGCTAGACCTATACTATATAAAATCAAGGGTGACTTATTTTTTCCTCAAATCAACAAAAACTCGAATTCATACCAAAATCTTTAATGGTGATATTTCACCATTTTTTAAAGATCCAACAATTATATTTTGTCCATTTTAAATTTGAGTTTATCCTCATTTAAATTTGGGTTTATTTTCCTTTAAATTTGAGTTTTTCCATTAGAGAGGTTTAATTATACCAAATCAAGCTTTTTACTTTTTTGTTTTTTTACTCAAATTTGGATAAGGGTTTGAGTTCTATTAGAGATTGTCTAACATAAACAAACTAAAAAACCGAACCAAGAAATAATTAACTTTCGTGGTACAAAAAAGGTAGGCAAAGCAACAGTTCAAAAATCGTTTTCAAAGTCAATATCTAAGTTAACATGGCTCCGTAAGCATCTCAAAAGAAAGCCATCATCATGAGAAATTTTTTCTTCTTTTTAGTCATCTCCAATGATTGCAATACCACTTCCACCCACTATAAACGGCATGTGGGAAAAAACAGAATGGATTTGGATAACCGTAGATGGGCTTTGGAACCATTCTGCAAAAGGCAAATAAGTATAAAAAATATAAATTGTCAAATGTCAATAAAATTTTTGGAAGCCAAAAATACAATTTACTCCTTAAAGGTCATAGAGGTACTCACTTTGCTGGTAAAGGCAAAAATAAAAAGTGAAGGAATTGATTTGTTTAACATTGGTGCTGGTAGGTAGTATCTTTTGGTGCAGTCACGTATGATACAGTATTTATTGTTTCATACATCAACTGGATTGTGTTACCATGGAGGGAAACGTTTCCTTTGAGCTCTTTGGCATCAGATTTTGTGGCAAGTATCACATATCATTGTCATACAATTCTAACTACTACACCTCCAGTATTGATATTTTGCATCCTTGACCCTTGAGGATTTGGATTGCTTAAAATCTTATGAGCTAGGATAGAATTGGCTGTTTTGAGTGATTTATGGGATTAGCTGCATATGCAATTAGTTGATTAGCAAGAGATTTTATTCGATTACTGGTTGGTTGATGTCCAACATTGACTGTTGCTTCTATTGATGTCAAAAGATGAGGAAGAGGAGTCGAAGACAAGGAATACATGTAAAGTACAAACCCCAAAATTCTTTTCATCAACTGGGTACTTGAATATGTGGGAAGATACTCTTGCATTGGACATTAGTCAGACTCTTGTTGACAGACTAGTGAGCTGTGCACAAAGACAACAAAATATTTTACAATAGACAAGTGGGTAATGTTACCAATTACCATGATTTAGATAGTGTCTAGAATACTTAAGTCTCATATTTCTCCTTAAATGATATCTAAAGATGGGTGAATGCAAAGCACCTCATTTTACACAAGACAAAATCAAATAGTGAACCAAACTATCGAATCCTAACAATCTAGCTGTACTCCTACATCTTACGATTTGGATATTAGACAGATCGGAGAGGCACATGAGCACAAAACATCCATATGATATTCAAGTTCCAGCAAAGGAACAAGAATATAGCGTTATGATCCTCTTATGATTTCCGCACATTACACAAGATCTTTATGAAATCTGCCTATCCCCTAATGTATACATACAAAGGAGTTATTTCTTAATCAATTATCAAATGTTTCCGTCATGGCTCATAAGATGATGACCATTTAGTTGGATAGTTACCGGCCTATATTGCAGCTATGGAATACAGATTAATGATACATTAACAATTCATCCTGTCATAATACTAGCATGCAATACCGGTACAGGGAAGGCCAATTTGCTCAATAACACATGATGAAGGGTTCAGAATTTGATTAATGCTGATGAACAAGCAGACATCAAAATATCTCCAAATATCAATTCATTCCGCCCTGTACAAAAAAGGTTGTAAATAAATGTCCCTTCTAGCACTAGCATCCCATCTGGAAAAAGTGGTGATCTTTGATTGCAATAGCTTTCACTTCAGCTATTTCTTCGTTATCATGACATATCCCTCCTCTAACTTTGAAGTTTGACACTGTCTTTTGAAAACATCAAGTCTCTTCAAAGTGCATTTGAACAGGCAGGCTCGGGTATAAGGAAGTCTTTTTGGTGATTTAAACCCCTATAACTAAGTTTTACCTATTCACTTTTGTGCTTTTTCTTCCTCTGATAACTGTAATTAAGATTCTGCCTAGGATGTTGTATAAAGAAAATAGGAGCCATGGTGGTACTAATATCACTTAGTAGGTAGGTAAGTCCTGGGATACTAATACGCAGGGAAAAGAGAAGGGTCGTTTAATAAAAATGTGGACCTGAGGCAGAGAACTGTTCCATGTTCTACGGGGACTTACCTATAAAGAGAGGGCTACCCATCTATAGATTAACTGTTGGAGGCATCATAGTTTGCCAGAAATAATGCCTGAGGATTAGTCATTTTTTATGGATAATAATTACTCCTTTAGAATGCAATTTGACCTATAGGCCATGGATTTGCCATTTTGTATGCTTAGTTCCCATGTGGGCCTTGATGATGATGGAATATATTGGATATGTGGACGGGAATGATCACTGCTAGCAACTATTTGTGATTGAACTACAAATGTCGGTACTCTGTGAGTTCGTTTAGAGATCCCTATCCATTGTTGGGGTTTGGGAAGATACTCCTATGTAAATCTAGTTGATAGATCTTGCTGCCTTTCCTGATGCGAATAGAAAGCCAGTTCAGGCCATAACATTTTGGCGGATAGGTAAAAAAATCTAATTTCTTTCCTCAAATTTTCTAAATTAGTGTCTAGGCTTTCTGGGACTCTCTTTGAGCAATTCGTTTGCAGGAGTGATATTTAATGTCATTTGTTTCCTTTGTATGTTGTGTATGGAATGGTGGATTGCCTCTGCTACAATTGGCTATAGGCCAACATTTGGATGGTCACTCCTGTTCTTCGGATTTTTTGAAAACAAAATTCCCAGTAGTTGGTCATGCAACTGACAAGGATTTTCTGACACCATATGGATTGAAGTTACAACTCAGAACTGATCCTCAAAGGTAAATCATGCCAGGCGAAATGCATATCATGAAACCTATAGTCCCTTCAACTGTGGTAGAGCTTAACATTCAGGAGGCTGTGCTTGGAAAAGCTTGTAGGTGTTGGGTGAAAGTTAATCAAAGTTGAAACTTAGTAAAGGGTTTTTACGATGATGGTCTCCTTGTCACACTCCTTGAGGATTTCAGTTTGGATCTGCTAATTATGTTGAAAACTAGATCTAAAAGTTGTTTTTCGATATCTTATTTACATGTTTCAGAATAAGAGCAAGGCTTTATATCGAATATTCTGTAATCCTTCAAGCAAAATGAAGAAATTTTCTCTCTTTCCTGCTTGTGATATCAAGGAGTATGTCAGTTCGTGTCCCATTTATCTTGTACTGAGTACATCATTTGTATAACATAGCATTACTAACATCATAAACTTAATTTTAATTATACTCTTTGAAAAGCATTTGTACTTTTTCCAACTTTGAAATTTGATTGACAACTCCTTGGCAGTTTCTATTTTTCTGTCAGCAACTCTAAATGCATCAGATAGGTTCAAGGGGAAGTGAAAAGTATTCTGCTGAACTTCATCCTATGTCCGTGTTTCCCTTTTGTTAACATGCGTCCCTATTTATGTTTTTTTTTTTTTTTTTTCCTTGNAAGAAAAGAGAGGGAAAAATTCAAGGAAGGAATTTGGGGCTGCGTATTATCCTCAAACAAGGTATGATTCTTGGTTTTTTTTGTTTTGGGTTTTTTTTTTTTTTTTTGGGGGGGGGAGAGGAGTTGGGGTTAACCTCAAAGATTTAGAGGAGATAGATGCCGACCATTTTGCAGCCTCCTGAAAAATAAAAGTTATTTACTTCTAGAACCTTCTGCCAATTAAATTGTTATTTTCTGCAGTTCATAATTGCAAATAGATGTTCTCCCCTGCTTATGTTGTGGGCAAATATTTCACCNGGGTTAACCTCAAAGATTTAGAGGAGATAGATGCCGACCATTTTGCAGCCTCCTGAAAAATAAAAGTTATTTACTTCTAGAACCTTCTGCCAATTAAATTGTTATTTTCTGCAGTTCATAATTGCAAATAGATGTTCTCCCCTGCTTATGCACTTTTTCTGGAATGTGTTCTGCAGTTGTTTCTACGTTGCTTAATTTTGTGAGAATGTTTGTTCGAGCCCATGATGAAAACTGCAAGCAGCTTGAGTTTGAAAAGAAGAAAGCACTCAAGGAAGCAGAAAATGAGAAGGTGAAATTAAGTGCCTCGAAGAAGGACCAAGATAATGAAAAGATGAAGACAAATGCTCCCAAGGCATCTAAGCACTTAATACCAACTCAGTAGCAGTGCCAACTAAGTGATTTCCATTCCTTTTTGAATTGGCGATGACAAAGTTATTGTCCAGTGGATGAAAAAAAATGGCCAAATTCCTTTCAAAGGACTGGCATATGCTCGGAATAGTGAAGCTTGAGTTTTAAACAAGGAGTAGGATGAGATCCATGGCAAAGGCAGATGGTGCAATTTTACGATAAGCAGAATATTAGAGCAGGAAAAGATATTAATTTCCAATGGTAAGCTTTCTTAACACCCTTGCATAGTTTGGAATTTCCATGCTCATACGGTACTTCATACATTTATCAATACCTTGTCTAATATGATTTATTCTTTTGAAGCAGAGACGGAGTTAGGAGACCTGTTTGATAGGCCACATTTACCAGTCCCCTGATTTTATTTTANCATACATTTATCAATACCTTGTCTAATATGATTTATTCTTTTGAAGCAGAGACGGAGCTAGGAGACCTGTTTGATAGGCCACATTTACCAGTCCCCTGATTTTTTTTTTTTTTTTTGTAAAAATGTCACTAACAGGTCTTTTACTATTTAAAATTTTGTTTTGCTGCTTATTTGTCAAGTTATCAATTTTGTAAATGTTTGAGTCTTATGGATGTAAATGCTGACATATGATTGACCACTACAAGGAAGATCACTCTTCCACTTTGCAAGGTAGCAGTGATCTGGAAAACTTATTGATTGTAGAAGTGTAGTAGTTATCTAGAGCACTCTTCCCTTGGCATGGTGGCATCTAAATCTCGGGGTCAACCCGCAATTAAGGGAAACATTGCATTGCATTACAATACCACTAGTAGGACCCTCTGCAAATGCACGGTCAGTTTAAATACTAAATACATCATATGTGATGTGGAAAAATTATGCCTATCATGATAATAATGGATGATTGAGATAATCACATTTGTGATAAAGTTTAATTTCATTAGGATAACACAACCGCCAACAGCTCCACTAGCTCAGCCAAGCTTCTCTAGCTCGCCAAGCTCAGTTCAGTCTTTCTGCTGGAAGTCGCTCAGAACCCCAAAGCGTTATAAGCAGGATTCGGCACAGTGCATAGCAAACGCTTCAAAAGACCCGCAAATGAGAGACATTTGACTTGATTCCTCTGCATGCTTCTTATGGTGTTTTGTCTTGAATACTTCTAGTGGGATACCAGTTTACCAAATAGATAACACAATTAATTAGTTTCACGTAAAACTTCTTGGGCATTTTCTTACTCTTTAACATAGTTCAAGCCTTATGAAGAATGGTATGATTGTTTTCTTTTGGCAACACTATTTGCTGTGGTGATCTTGGAACTGTTACAGAATGGAGAATTCCATTTTCTTCTCAAAATTTTTTGAACACATTTGATGTAAATTCACCTCTTTTATCGGATCCAGTTGTCTTAACTTCATACCTACTTTATTTTTCAATAAAAGTCTTAAAACTTTTTGAAAACACCAACACCTTCGATTTTTAAAAAAAAAAATAAACACATGTTTTCCTATTAAAATCATCAATAAAGAGAATAAAATATTGATTTTTACCAAATGATGGTGGGTCTATAGGCTTGCAAACATTTGAGTGAACAAGTTGAAGTGTCTTGTTTGCTCTTGAAATGGTTTCTTTGGGAAAGTTCTTTCTAGCTTGCTTTCCAACGAGGCTTCCTCACAAAGTTGATTTGGGTGGTTGATAGAAGACAATCATTTAACCATCTTTTTTCTAAAAATAAATTTAGTCCTCACAAATTCAAATACCCAAGCCTTAAGTGTCATAACCAAGAAAAAATTTTAACACATGTTTTTAGGTATTTTGCTACGTCACTTTGAATATTCTGTTGGACCAAACAATTTTTTAAGTATAAAAACTGAATTTTTGGTCGACTTTGAGTTTAAATTAAAGTGGGATATGTTCGTTGTTTTAAGTAAACTTTCATGGATTCGTATTCTATTCCGTGAGAAAAATAATGTAATATACTTACTTACTCAAATCGAGTAAAAAATGAATGAAAAAATAGACTCCAAAGTGACTCTCTTGAAATGTGGAAATAAATGATGTACAATGTGGGACTTGATACCAATCCCACATTAGTTGAGGAAAAAATTATACATGAATATATATAGGCCAAATTTGCTATATGAGGTTGGGCCTTAAGGGGTACCACAATTTTATGAGCGGAACAAGTCCCTATATACATTTGGTTCTACAACACACGCGTGCGTGCCCCGCCTGCCCGCCACGACTTGGCTGGGCTCGGGTGTGGGTAGACCATTTTGGAGAGAATTCATTTAATTAATTGGGCAAGAATTTCTGAATCGAAATTAATTTTCGGTATTCGTTGGATTGCACTAATTCAGAGTTGTTACTTTCCTCCAGTCCGAAATTGAGTTGTGTCTGTTCATAGAGAACAATTACACAAGTGGTGTCTACAGTCTGCATGTGTCTACTGGGTTGCATTCGTTCATATGGTGGCTGATCCGGACAGTCACTATTCTCTCTATAAATAACCCGGTCACATAATTATTTTGCATTCGACAATTCCAATTCATCCATTATATTCTTAGTCATTTAAGACAGTCACATACATAATTATGGAAGTCTGCATTTTCGATAGTACACAACACAATTTCTGGTTCGTTGGACGAGTAGAATGAAGTGCTATTTCTACTCGTGTAAATATCATTGTATCTTAGGTGATAAACGCTCGATATTCCATAAGTATCGTGTGTAGGGGTGAAATTTATCTTAAGGACATAGTATCAAACACTAGTCTTGATCTACATCAATTTCAATAATAATTTCTATTCTGTAACCAGGTTAGTATTTATATTGCTTAAACAAACAGTTTATGTGTAACAAGTGTAACTCTAACTCTTTCGTGTAAGACTGTTTATATATAACTGTTTCGCACTTGATTGTTACTGTTTTGTTATACATTATATGTTTTAAATTAGAAATTTCAATAAGTAATTTTACAATATTTGAAATACAATAAACAACAATTTTAAGACAAATTTTTCGAATTTGTATAATTACTAGTTGTGTTTTTGATACACATTTTAGTATTCTAAAATACTGCAAATTGTTAAAATTTATTTTTTACAATCTGTGATATTTTGAAAATAATTGAAAAATTTTGTGGAAAAAAATATTATATGTTCTTTTTATGTGTTTAATTCAAACAGTTATACCAAACAGTTATAGTTACACAAAACAATGACTCTATTCATGCATATCCTTTAAATAGTTACAAAAAACTGTTACAGTTATACCAAACAGTGACTCCATACAAAAATGTTAAAATAGTAACTTCAAAACAATGACACTGAACAGTACATAGATTATCTCTGTTTTAGTAACTTGCTTTGAAAAGTGTTATTGTTTTCCTGCTTTGAATATCTTGTAATATTTGTTTATCAAAAATGATTGTAAATGATAATAATGTTCCCGCTACTACAAATCATATTATGTATGTGGTGCCTATTTCTGTTTCTACTCATGTGTCTCATGGGAAGAAACCCTAAAAGTTCAATGAGAATGATTTCAAGAGATGACAAAAAAAATGTTGTTCTATCTCACTACGTTGAATCTTGTAAAATTTTTTCATGAAGATGCTCCTGTTTGTAGTGAGAATGATACCGACTGCCAAATTGTTGATGAGGTAGATGCATGGAAGCATTCTAATTTTTTGTGCAAAAATTATATCTGTAATGAATTGGATAATATATTATATAATGTGTATAGTCCAATCAAGACGGCTAGAGAGTTGTAGGAATCCTTGGATAGAAAATACAAGATGGAGGATGCTAGAATAAAGAAATTCGTTGTGGGCAGATTCCTTGACTACAAAATGGTGAATTTCAAAACTATCATAAGTCAAGTTCAAGATCTTTAAATTATCCTACACGAGATTCATGTTGAAGGGATGATGCTTAGTAAATCTTTTCAAGTGGCTGCAATTATTGAGAAATTACCTCCAAATTGGAAAGACTTCAAAAATTATTTGATGCACATATGCAAAGAAATGAAATTTGAATACTTGATTGTGAGATTGAGGATTGAGGAGGACAATAGAGTCTCTGAAAATAAAGTTGGTAATTATTTCATGGAGTCAAAGACATATGTGATTGAAGATGAAAATACAACCAACGAGAAAAAGAAGTATGTTAGCCAACAAGGACTCAACGGTGGTGATACCAAAAGGTTTTAAGGTAACTACTTTGTGTGCAATAAATCGGGGTATCATGTAAAGGATTGTCAAAGCTGTAAAACACAAGTGAACCACAAGAGAAAGGCTGTCCAAGTCAATATAACCGAGGTAGAAATTTTTTTTGAAAATATTTCTAATATGAGTTTTTTTGCTGTAATATCCAAAGTGAACTTGATGAAAAATACTAAGGAATGGTGGGTGANATATTTCTAATATGAGTTTTTTTGCTGTAATATCCAAAGTGAACTTGATGAAAAATACCAAGGAATGATGGGTGGNTGTAAAACACAAGTGAACCACAAGAGAAAGGCTGTCCAAGTCAATATAACCGAGGTAGAAATTTTTTTTGAAAATATTTCTAATATGAGTTTTTTTGCTGTAATATCCAAAGTGAACTTGATGAAAAATACTAAGGAATGGTGGGTGAACACCGAGGCCACAAGACACACATGTTTAGATAAAAAGATGTTTTCTTCATATGAAACAATTAATGATAGAGAACAACTATTCATGAGAAATTCCTTTACTGCCAAAGTTGAAAGCAAATTAAAGGTTATATTGAGGATGACTTTTGAAAAAGAATTTACTCTCAATAATGTGTTACATGTTCAAGAACTTTGAAAGAATCTTGTGTTTGGATCGTTGTTGAGTAAGAAGGATTTTAAGTTAGTTTTTGAGTCTGACAAATTTGTACTCACTAAAAGTGGGATTTATGTGAGCAAGGGATATATGAGCGATGAACTTTTTAAGATGAATGTAATGACAATTGTATCTAATTTTAATAATAAGAACACATCTTCTTTTTATATGCTTGAGTCTTCCAATGTATGGTATGGTAGATTAGAACATGTTAATTTTGATACTTTGCGTAAATTAATGAATTTAGAATT